TCTCTGAATTGTTTCGATGTACTGGTAATAAATGTAAGCTTTTTTTTCTTTAATTTCAGAGCTGATGGAAGAGAGCGAGGAGAGTGAAAACTTGAGTGAAGTGGAGGAGAAACATCATGACAAACCTAAAGAAAAACCAACCAATGTAATAGTTCTCACTACAGAAACATGAGATTTGTGCCTGTAAAGTTTTAAAAATAATAACTAGAAGATAAGTGTACCTAAAGAAAAACCTTTGAGTCACTCAAAGACTAAAAAGACATTTTTAAAGAAAAGAAGAGTCAAGAAATCTTTCACCTGCACTCAGTGTGGAAAGAGATTGACATGCAAACGTAATCTTAAGCTTCACATGAGGATCCACACTGGAGAGAATCTGTTCACCTGCACTCAGTGTGGAAAGAGTTTGACAACCAAACATACTCTTGAGTGTCACATGAGAATTCACACTGGAGAGAAACCGTTTACATGCGATCAGTGTGGGAAAGATTTTACACATTCACCACACCTTAAGAGACACATGAGGATCCACACGAGAATCCACACTGGAGAGAAGCCACACGTATGCAATCGATGTGGGAAGAGCTTCACACAATCATCACGTCTTAAAGGACACATTAACATCCACACCGGAGAGAAACTGTTCACATGTGATCAGTGCAGCAAAACATTTATTGGGGCATCAGCCCTGAAAACACACCTGACAGTTCATACAAAGGAGAAGCCGCATTTATGTTCTGTATGTGGAAAGAGTTTTTCACTGCTGCCATATTTACATAAACATCAGAAAAGACATACTGGTGTAAAAGCTTATATGTGCTTTGTGTCACGGTTCATGGGTCTGTGTGCTCATTCTGTGTCTGTGTGTGTGTGTGTGGGTGTTATCCGCTCCATGTGCTCATCAGTGTTGCCTAGTTACCGCGCACCTGACGAGCTGATCAGAGCGGTCACAGGTGTAGCTCATCTGCACTGCCTATATCTGGCTGACGTTTCTGTGGAGTGTTGTCAGATCGTTGTTGCTCATGTCTTGTCTGGTTCTCTGTCAGCCCTTCTCGTTCCTGAGTGTATTCCCGCCGGTATTTCCTACGGAGGAATCGAGGATAGCGTTTGTCATAACGCTGCTCTCTGGATGGGCGGCTCTCTGGGGAACTACCGTTTGGGAGCAGAGGCTTCCTTGCTGCACGTCATTTCAGTCGTTTTCGGATGAGATCAAGAAGGTTTTTGATCGGGCATTCCTGAGTGTATTCCCGCCGGTTCCCTGTTCCCTGAAGGGTTTGGACTGCTCGGAGTGTTCTCTGCCTGAGCTGAGACTTTGCACTGCCGGGTTACCTGCACCTCTACTTGATGTAGTTGGAGTTGTCTAATAAAGACTTCCTTTTCACTCGCAATTGGATCTTGTGTTTCTGTTTCATGACACTTTGAGTGTGAAAAGACTTTTACTACACCGGACTGTTTAAAACGGCATCACATGATATCTTGTGTTTCTGTTTCATGACAGAACGATCTGACCATTATGGATCCAGCGAGTGCATCAGATTTAAGAGACTTTTTGGCTCACAGTAATTCACGCATGGATCGCCAGGAGGAACAGATGGCAGCCTCTAATCGCGCTGTTCAAGCCCTGGTCTCTCAGGTCTCGGAGCTTACCACCCAGCTACAACGTTTCCAGACTGAGTCCGTCCAGCAACACACTGCACCTAATCCACCTGTGTCTTCTGTCCCGAATCAGGCCACTCGTTTCACCGAACCCCGCCTTCCGCCTCCAGCTTTTTACTCTGGTGAGTCCAAGCAATGCCGCTCTTTTCTTGCCAAGTGTTCTCTGTATATCTCTCTTCAACCATCGTCATTTCCTACGGAGGAATCGAGGATAGCGTTTGTCATAACGCTGCTCTCTGGATGGGCGGCTCTCTGGGGAACTACCGTTTGGGAGCAGAGGCTTCCTTGCTGCACGTCATTTCAGTCGTTTTCGGATGAGATCAAGAAGGTTTTTGATCGGGCGGCTTCGGGCAGAGAGGCGGCTCGTTTTTTGGCAGAGTTACGGCAGGGAGATCGGAGCGTCGCAGATTACTCCATTGAATTCCGCACCCTGGCGGTGGAGTGCCATTGGAATCTTGAAGCGCAGTGGGACATGTTTTTACATGGACTTTCTGATTATATCAAGGATGAGATCTATACCGTTTGTAATAAACTTGCTCCTAAATTAATTGGCCCGTTTACTGTCACCAAGATTATTAGTCCGGTGGCGGTCCGCCTTAAACTGCCTGCTGCGTACAGGAGGATTCATTCCGTTTTTCATGTTTCCAAATTAAAGCCCGTTTTTCATGCTACCATTAATCCGCTATTAATGACTCCAGTTCCCCCACCGCCGCGACTTGTAGATGGGGAACCTGTTTATTCGGTGAATCGTATTCTGGACTCTAGGCGGAGGGGACGCGGATTCCAGTACTTGGTGGACTGGGAGGGTTACGGTCCAGAGGAGAGGAGTTGGGTGCCTGCAAGAGACATATTGGATCACTCTCTTATCGATGATTACAATCGTCAGGTAAGTTCCTCTGGGAGCGCCAGGAGGCGCTCTTAGGGGAGAGGGTACTGTCACGGTTCATGGGTCTGTGTGCTCATTTCTATGTCTGTGTGTGTGGGTGTTATCCGCTCCTTGTGCTTGTCAGTGTTGCCTAGTTACCACGCACCTGACGAGCTGATCAGAGCGGTCACAGGTGTAGCTCATCTGCACTGCCTATATCTGGCTGACGTTTCTGTGGAGTGTTGTCAGATCGTTGTTGCTCATGTCTTGTCTGGTTCTCTGTCAGCCCTTCTCGTTCCTGAGTGTATTCCCGCCGGTTACCTGTTCCCTGGAGGGTTTGGACTGCTCGGAGTATTCTCTGCCTGAGCTGAGACTTTGCACTGCCGGGTTACCTGCACCTCTACTTGATGTAGTTGGAGTTGTCTAATAAAGACTTCCTTTTCACTCGCAATTGGATCTTGTGTTTCTGTTTCATGACA